AGCAAAGCAAGAAACAGTAATGGGAAGGGAGAAACACTCTCCACAGCACAAGCCCTGCAAGGCAGGCCAGCCCCACCACATGACCAATGTTTACCCACATCCCTTGACATGGCTTCTCCCAGTGGTTTTGATTTGGGTAGTTGTATAACACAAAGGTTAGGCACACAGTTAGTGTGCATACTGTTTTCACAGGGCGATATGTGTCCCAAAGTGCCCTGTGACTGGTCGAAGGCCAGAGCTGTAAAGTTCAAGACAAGCCTGTATTTATGCAAGGGGAAGGAGGAGACCCTATGGAGGCAACTATACTGGATCTTGTACTTCTGTCCTGAAAAGAACCTAGATATTAAAAAAAAAAGCCAATAGTGAGTAGATATCATTTACCCTGAAGAGTTCTGAGCGAGGCTGATGAATCGTAAGAATCACAATCCTGTCTCTGTGTGCAAGCTCTGAGAGAAGCAAGACCAGCTGGTTTGCAGTCAGGCAGTCCAGCCCTGTCGTTGGCTCATCAAGTAGCATAACCTCTGTCAAATGACAAGGAGTAGCTTTAAAATTCAGGTAAATGAGGAGAAAGGCCTACAGCTTCTCCCTTTAAAAGAAGCAAATAATATAGAAATTACTTTACATGTGAAGTTCCACATGTAAAGCAGATCACCATGATGTGATCTTTCAGTTTAAGTTAGTTCCAGTGGTTCAGTTACAATGACCAGGAATAAGGACATAAAAAACTACTGCAGGATCAAAGCATAATATTTTTTTTCTAAATTCAGGTAAAATCTGAAAATTACCAGAATAGAATTGATGTATGCATCTGCTTCTAAGAACAGTAATGATAAATTTCAGCATGTATGTAAATGTAAATATAACTGAAAAATTAGCGAGAAGTTATAATCTGAATTAAATCTATATATACACACAGAATTGATCATGAACAAACCAAGAGTTGTTAAAATACAGCATTTGTAATTCCCTAGATGGTAGCTAGAGGGGATTACTGCATTTTCTTCATTATTTTATTGCACATGGAAGGGAAAAACTTATAGTCAAATCCATTATTTTTATATAGATGAGACATAGCACAGAAGAGGGCAGTCCAACCTTGATCAGGGTAAGAAGGGAGAAAAGCTTTCACTATAGGTTTATCTACACAGAATTACTATGGTGTTTAGTATAGAGTTTAGTGACTTACTGAGCAATAACTACACCCAATGAACTCCCCAGGGGTCATAAGAAACAGTGATACATCTTACTTTACTATTTAAGTGCTCCTTGCTGCCTGATATGCAGTTCTAGCATAGCTGCATTGCTACAATAATTCCAGCATCCAACAAATGCCTGCTGTACATTTGCTCCATAAGATTCTGGCAAATTCAAGAAACTATCTCAAAATTGACTAAATTTACAGTGATTTTTCCCCATGGATAATCCTTCTATAGTCATTCTGCTTTCATTTTCACTCAGTGGAATTTTTTCGCTCTGGAACATACGTGTTGCTCGTGCATACATAGCTCAGTGGCAGGGACTCCACTGCAAGGCTCAGTGTTTGTATATATATGGCTCTAATGTGCTCAAAACCTATAAATTAATGGGCCACAACCAACATTTGGGAAGAGAGAGCTGAGAAAGACTTAAAATGGATAAGTGCAAGTCTCAATCCCTAAGATTTTTTCATTGTCTGCTTTCCAAGATCAGCTAACAGATTAATGGTAGACTCAGTTACTATTCTATCCTTTTCTGTTATTACAACAGTAGTTTTTGCTGAATTACAGAATGTAAATGCTTTTGTATTTTAAAGTGGTTTATGGAAACCTATGGTAGGAGCACAAAGTTACCCAGCTTTATTTTAAAAATCCATGCAGTGGTACTTACTGGGATCTTGTAATAGCTGGGCTGCAACCGATACCCGACGCCTCTCACCCCCAGAAATTCCTCCAATATTATGGCTTCCAATAATTTTGTCAGCCATGTGGCTGAGACTCAGCTCAGTCATGACTGCATCTACCTGAAAAATAATTACAATTTTAATAGACTAAACACAGACCAACTCAGATACCTGTGTGCAATGGTAAAAAGTGGGGAAGAAAAAGACATAATTTTAAAATATAGCTTTCCCAATATCCTGCTTGCTCCATTCTAGTTGGAAGGTATATGGCCTCATTTCTATTTGATTAATTTTAATATATTATTTAAATTATCTTTTAAAATTTTAGTTTCATGCATTCTGAAATGAGTAAATTTTTGCTTCAGTTGACATTAAGAGATGAAGAGTTCAGAGGTGGGACTAGAAGTCAAGGTATGAAGCATAATGTGCTAGTCTGGCTTCCAAAATTGGGGAGCATGAAGGCATATCCATCCTGGGGAAGTATAAAATACTGAGTAGAAGATCAGTGAAGAGAAGAGACAGAACAAGAGCCTTTGGTCAGGAATATCCAATCTTTACTTTCAAAAGAGTTCTTTAAATAAATCTGAAACAAACCTATTTTATCAAGAAAATAGCTTGTAGGGGGCTTAGTAGACCAGTGCTTTTTGGAGCTGTTGTGGTTGATGAGAGATGTCCTACAGGAGCCAGAATAGTGTCAAAATCACTTCTGCTGTTCATGAGTCTTGCCAGCACACATGGCCCTAAACACCCCAGAGAACTGGGTTTATCAGCTGGGAAAGGGGAACTGACCTCAATACCAACATCAGCATCTCCTGCAGCAGCAACTGCTGCAGCTTTGGGTGGAGGGTTTTGTCCCAGCATAATGGTGATTCCCTGGGGTGTCAGCACAAGCCCCCTGCAGCGGTGGGGAGCACCAGAGATCTTGGGTCCTGCTCCTCAGCAGGAGGATTTCTCCCCATTTGCAGAATGAGGATTACAAAACCCCATAAACATAAAATACAGCCATGGATGGAAAGTGCTGCTGGTGAAAGCATTACATGACATCATGTCTACCTTTCTGGAGGAAGACGATAAAATACAGACCTTCTTTTTGATGAAGTTGTTGGAGCATTTCTTAAGAGTTAGCAAAGCCGTGTATGTCAAAGACTCTTGTACGGTGAGAAAGCTTAACAAAGTGTCACTCTGGAAAAAAAAGTGAAGAGAAAGAAGCAGTTAGTTCTGTAGTAATTTAATATCTTGTCCCTCCTCATGCAAGTTTAATTAATACAAACTGATTTGTCCCAAATTTACTAATATAATCACAGTCAGACTATATTACTCCATTACACGAGGAACTTTCTTTACATGAAAGGAAGCACAGTACACAAAAAATAAATGTAGAAATCAACCTGTGGTACATAAGAGAAGCAATCTCTAAACTGTTCCTTCTTCAGCTGACGTCCATTCACATACACTTCACCAAAGAAGCTGTCTTTATATGTCAGTCTTCCTGATATTGCATCCAGAAGTGTTGTTTTCCCAGATCCTTTCAAACAGAAGAAATTAATCATGTGATGAGATGAATGTTATGATTCCAAGAGTGGTAGCTTGATTTGAATGGAGACATATGAAAAGAAGTAAGGCTTTTTTTCTCAATAACATTAAAATAATAGTCCTGAATATGCAGCTAGTTAAGAGGAAAAATAGGAAACTGGAAATGTAAGTTAGCATTTAATTCACACAAATTCACACTTTGCATGGAACGTTTGACTTTAGAAGTAACCTTATCTGTTACTGAAGTTATAATTGTTAGTTAGATGACAGAAGATTGAACTCTGAAAACCAAGCACCACAGTTTTACAAAGCAGAAGTTAAAATCAGCTGCAATTTCATTATTTAAAACACAGATCTCAGTCACATTCATATCACTATGAAAGTAACCAGTATTAACTCCAATATTATTTCTTTCAAGGTTCTGGAACAACTTACCAGAATTTCCTAAAATCCCCATAATCTGGCCACTCTCTATGTGAAATGAAACATCCTTAAGTATTTGCCGGGTCCATTTTTTACAATATAAAGAAAAGTTCCACCATGGGCCAACACGCTCTCTTGGAAAACAAACATCAATAAATATTAAATAGAGAATATTTTAAAATCTAGCATAAAGCAAGTGAATGGTTTATAGCTACCTGCTACAAACCATTTCAGCATTATTTGGAAGAAAAAGTGAGATCTGAACAGATTTCTCAGAATAATTGCTAAGAGGCTTTTGGACTACAACCAAAGAGGCAAATATGAACTGTGGCTTTATTTGCTGATGGTGTCTGCCAGCCACTAATCCACCTGGCCCTTTTCTCAGAGCCTATGTTATCCTTCTGGTAGCAGTAAGACAGGCAGTGGGAAAGAGCACAATCTTTGGAAATCTCCTCTAACACATGTCCTTCAGATACATCTGAAGGAGAACGGGTGAGCCCTCCAGAGGACAGGCTGGCTGTGCCTCCCTCGGGCCGCACGCTCTGCCCCTGTGGCAGACAGCCCAGTGCCGTGAGGTGGGCAGCCTGGAAACATCCCTCCTCCTGGACTGGGCTGAAGCCAAACCCACAGACCGCCAGTGCCAGCCCCGCTTCCCACAGTCCCTGGGGTTGGAGCAGCTCTTGGCAGGCAGGGGCCCCCCTTACTGCCCTCCCCAGCCCTACCTGATGGTGTAGGAGACACCCTGGACACTGACGCTGTCGGATGGCTGTGCCCCAGCTTTCGTCTCGCCTGTCTGCCCAATGCTGCTGCTCTTTTCCAGGGCAGGAGACGCTCTGCCCGACATCCTCAGGTGCTGGGGCTCCATAGCCTCCCTTCCTCAAGCCTCTGGCCAGGTGCCTGGCGCTGCCACCACCATGCCTCCACCAGCGCCAGGCAGGGGCAGCTCCCCGCTGTCCCAGGGTCAGAGCAGGTCGCTGCCCCCAGCACTTGCCACCTCAAAGAAAACAGAGGGGCTCCTGGTCCTTTCTTTTTCCTGAGAACAACTGATCAGCGATTAGCTGAAGCCGCTATCTGATGTACCTTTAGCCCGAACTGTTACTGTCCCAGAGGAGGGGAATATTTCCCTGTCCACGGGGTCATGCCAGCTGCAGAGACACAGCATGCCAGGAGATATGGTGCTGCGGTGAAGGTGCCCGGAAAGGACTGAGTTCCAAACCAAGAGGAGAAGGATTTCTTTCAAAGAGACAAGTCAAACCACTGCAAGGAGTGAGACCTTCCACCACCATGATGAAGGAAACCACTGAAAATGTCTCTCTGGATGATGCCGGCTGGAGCCAGGTGACATTCAAGGGCTTGCCAGTGAGTGAGACCTGCAGGGAGTCGGGAGGGACCTGATGGGCTCAGCTTTCTGCAGCTACAGTGCTTGCTGAGAACTGGGAGAGGCAGGCAGGCAGCCTTCCCACAGGGCTTTTGCAGCTGGTGAGCCCTCAGCTCATCCAGCTCTGAAATGGGGAGCAGAAAGTGTCCACACCCCCCACCAGAGCATACTGAGGATGAGGCCAGTGCTCAGATGCCACAGTGGTGGAACTGAGAGGGGCGATCTCCAAATATGTGGATGGAGGAGAAAGCCCCTCAGCATGGCCTGGACTGGCTTTCCCAGGATATGCCTTCGGACTGATACCCACATTTGCTGGGGAGCACCTGTTTTCAAAAATTAGGTTCAACATAAGCAAGAGCACAGAGTGCTTTGGCAGTAGCAGGAGCTTGGAGGGCTTTCATGCGGCTTTTCAGGCTGCTTGGTGTGACATTGCTTTCTGCTATCTAGACTGTATCTAGATTGAAAAGATTAATCGGCCTTGTTTGCTGTGAGGGTATGTGGTGCACACTAGGATCGTGGTCACCAGCTGCCAGAGATACTACAGGCATGGATAGGGTCTGCTACACAGAGAACAGGTATGTTTGCCTTGGCTAGAAATGAGTCTGACTCGTAGGAAAAGCACAGGGCTTCGGGAAAGATATGGCTGTCTGGAGTAAAAACTGCAGGCATGCACACAGAGTTACACCCAAATCCAGAAAGCTGCCTCAGCAATGACTTCATAATTGCAGATGTATGCAAAAAGTTAACCAAGCCAGGCAGAGACTCTTGTTATTTTAACTGATACCTCAGAACACTAAGTTCCACAGTTGATAAACTGTAAATTTAAAAAACAAAAGAGGAGAAAGAGACTGTACTTGTGGTTGTATACCCACTTGTTCACAAATTCTCCAAGTTTGAGTCCATGTGGAATTCAACAACAGATATACTTCCAGTGAACACTAATTTTTAGCTGCCATAACTTATGTATGGCATAAGTTTTTTATGTATGGCATAACTATATGCACCATTTTGGTCAAGTAGACTGACACTGCTGAAGCACTATATCTTTTTTCCTCAAAAAAAGGAAAAAAAGAAAGAGTCTAATCTCTTTATACTGACATGACATTTATCTCCATTTTGAATGACCACTTTTAAACTAGCAACTAGAAAAGCACAGCACAGCATTTTTGGCCCTCATACATGTCACTAGAACAAAGTACATTTCACACTGATTAACAGATAATAGATAACCTATTTCAATCCCTCAGACTTTTGCACTACAGTAACTCATCAATAATATTGTTATATTCCATAAATATATTTACCTTTGTGCTTTGTCTTCTCTGAACTCAGATTTTAACAGTACTTTAGTTGTTGTAATTAACTGTTGTAATTAACCTAACAACTTTTCCAGACCAAGACCCAGGATGCTATTTTTTCCTCTGAAGAAGATAACAGTCTGTATTTCACATACAGTGGAAAATCAAATGTTCTCGAGGTCAAAGAACTCAATTACCAGGTAAGAATTGTCATTTAAATACCTCCCTTCAGCAGGAAGCATATCCAGCAATGCCTGTTTCTGTACACAAGCCATTTTAAAAGCCAAACAAAGTCGAAAAAGTTCACACAACTGTTGCGCAGTCAAATACATGGTTTTGTGAGTAGAATCATACTCTTGGCTGCAATACTGACAGCAGACTAACCCCTCCATTGTAAATTTATTTAGTAAAACAAGGGAGTAAGACAGAAAGAAAGATCTGTTTCTAAGCTCTGCTTTTTTTCAGTCTTGAGCAAAATTATTCCTCTGAGGGTTGGGGCAGAGGGACTTTCTGTCAGGCTAGCAATGTTGGGAGCCCTTGCTGGCAAAAATGAGTATGTGGAAGGAGATGAAGAGAGGATGACTAATAAGGAGGATTTCAAGGAACCAGTGAAATTTTTCATCTCCTTTGTGCCACCGTGGCATCTGAAGTAGATTTCACAATTTTCAGTTTAATAGAATTTCAAATTACATTAAAATTTTTAAATATTTAAAATTTACAATAGCAATAAATTTCCAAAGTAACAGAGAACAGAGATAGATTTAGTGATTAACGGAATGAGAAGCAAAACACAAAACCCATAGATGGCTGAAAAAGAACTTCTTTCCATGTATTTCTGAAGATTAACAATGATATTCTTTGCTTGTAACATCGTAAGATATTTGTTGCTAAATAGTGTATTGCTTGAAGGGACTTGTTTATTTCTTTATTAGGTTAACACAGCCTCCCAGATTCCCTGGTATGAAAACCTTGCACAGATGAAAATGCCCTGGACCTGGAAATCGGATCCCCATTCTCATGTGCCAATAATCCAGAATCTGAATTTAAAAGTTCGAAGTGGTCAGATGCTGGCTATTATAGGAAGCACTGGTAAGAGCAAACAAATTTCAGGATATGACCAACTCTCAGATAAAATGTACACAGCCAAGAGCAGGTTTTTTAATGTCAAAATCTAGTTGAGGAAAAAAATATTGGCAATGTGTCACTTAAATACATTCTTTAAGTGACATGATCTATGAGGAAATAAAGAATGATACCACAGGGAGGAGGGGAGTTGGGTTTAAGATTGATTTTCAAACCCAATTCTGTTATGCCTTGTACACGTTTGCTAATTGTTTCCTGAGGTGTAGTGGGGTATTGTCATAATTGTGGCCTTGAAGCCCCAGATCTGCTGGACATGAATCAGCTTCATGGCTCAGATTCAAAACAGGCCAATTGCAGTTCTTACCCAGAAAACATAGCAGACAAATGAGGACAGACCCCATAAGAAAGATCAATGCCAACTTGCATAGCCATAAGTAGGAATTCCCTTTGGATTGAAACAATTCTAACAGGACAAAATATTGCATTTGGGTTAATTAAGAGAAACTTACAGAGAAGAAAAGACAGTTCCACTTTTGTTTGGGGTCTCTGCTTTACAACGTCTTCTTCTTTTTCTCCTTCATTTTCTGGTGGGACTGGTCTAATCTTCTCCGAGGTGAGGTTGTCTAATGGAGAGGTGGCCTTTTCTCCATACGTTCAATTGAGTCTAAACTCATCTAGGGAGATAAGAAGTAGACACATGATGTGCTAAACTGAAGTAAAAAGTACTTTACTTTAGAGGGAAAAACCTCCATGCTGTGTCTCCACTAGACTCTTATGTATCTTAGTGATTCAGTGAGGATGCTCTCTATCAAAGACAAGGCATATTTGCCAAAAAGTTTGAACTTTATTTCTACAAAAAGAGGTGTTTCTTCCCTATTGCCATGGGAATTTTTTCTTACTACATATCCTTAATGTAATAGAAGCTGTACCTTAGAGATTCTCCCCAAAATAAAAGGAAAAGCTTGTGATGAAAAAACATATAAAGTTATAGATATAGCACCTTTGTAAGATAACATACACTGAGCACAAACCCCTTTCAGCAAACTAGTCAAACTATTTTCAAAAGCTGTTTATCATTTATTTCATCAAATGCCTTAATAAAATGGATTAAACTGCTGATGGGTTTCACATTGTCAATGGCAATCAATATGTCACTCTTAAACAGAGCAATATGTGGTTTACAGATGGATGGGTTTCTTTTTTTTAAAATGTATGTATTAAGAAACAAGTGTGGAGTTAATCTTTCAACAGGGAGACTAGAAATAAATGACATTTAATCATAATAAGAGAGCTCTCTGTGTTTACATACAGTATCACACAGCAAAAAGGAAAAATTCATTTGCTATTTAACTCCAAATCAGGTTTTGTTTTCATTGTTTTACTTTTCCTACCTCTGGTTATGAGCCAGCTTTTCTTAATTATTTAACTGTCTTTTTGTCTTATTTAAGTCATAATAATTTTTATTTCAATCATGATTAAGGTTCTTATTGTCTGTATAATCACTCAGCACCTTAGTTCGTTCAGCTGATCCAGCTGCTGCATCTGAATTCACAAATCCCTCCACAGAGAAAGCTCTTGCTTAGCATTTGGGTGTCAGCCTTGCAGCCGGGGCAAGACACCACCTGTCACCTATGTTTCAAAAGTGAAAGAGAGGTGACCAAAGAGATCTTTCTTCTTGTGCTCATGGAACTACCTCCAGCGCCCAACCTCCCAATTCTGCTGAGAAATGACAAGGGTTAAAGCCCCATACTCCATTCCAGAGGGGAGAGATTTCCTGAACATGAATTTATAGTCATTATTTTCTTTGAAGACCATTCCGTCCCTGTGCCTTTGGAAAAACTGCAGGAAGTGTTGTGTAAGAGACGCTAAGAAACAAAAATTTCTATCCGCTGTCTGTGACGAGACCATTTTTCAAAATGATCCCTTGGGAATTAATTTAATTTTCAATTTTGACTTTTCTAGCTGGTGGAAAGACATCCTTGCTTGACGTGATAACCTGCCGGGATCATGGAGGCAAAATCAAGTCTGGTCAAATCCTGATCAACAACGAACCCAGCACTCCCCAGCTTGTTAGGAAATGCATAGCACACGTGCGGCAGGATGACCGACTGCTCCCCCACCTGACTGTCAGAGAAACACTATTGTTCGTTGCCAAACTGCGCCTTCCGAAGTTTTTTTCAGACTCACAAAGGAAAAAAAGGGTAATTAAGCTGTTGGAAAAAAGTAAAGTTGTCAAAAATGTGTCTGACAGGAATTATCCAAGAGATCCTGTGTGTTTGGAGTCAGAACAGCTAATCTGATATTTTTTCATGTAGATTATGAATTATACACCTTTTTCATCTTTCAAGATAGAAACCAGCAATTGTTCCAAAGCTCATAAAAAATGACAATCTAGAGAAAGCATTACAGAGGCTGAAAGATGAACTAAATTTTTGATCGCTGAGTCTTTTTTAATGTTATCTCTAAAATCAAGAGTGTCTCTTGATCAGATAGCTCTGAAATATCCAGACGAATTTTAACCACGTTCATCTTATTTTCAGTTTTATCTATGCACGAGTGTCCAAATGAACACTTGCTTTCTCTCTGTTGCCCTTCGGATCCCCCAGGTAGAAGATGTCATAGCAGAGCTGCGCTTGCGCCAGTGTGCAAACACCAGGGTAGGGAACGAGTTCCTCCGTGGCGTTTCAGGAGGCGAGAGGCGGAGAGTGAGCATCGGTGTGCAGCTGCTCTGGAACCCGGGTGAGCAAAACCCTGACACCTTCCTCGTGCCTACCACAGACCACCCCGGGGATAATGGGGCAGTAAATGAAGACAGGAGCTTTCAAGGGAACAGTCAGACACACTGCCCCAGGGGCAGCTTAAGGAGTTCATACTCAGAACACTTAACCTGGCACCACCCTCTGCCGGAGGTTACCTCTCCACAGCACAGTTAGACACAGTGACCGAATGCTGGTCCATTTGCTTAAATTGAAATCATTGCTGATCACAGATAAAACTGTAATTATTACAGTAATAATTCTGTAAACAGAGTGTTTTTTAGCAGCTGGCCCACTAGTGTTTCTGTCACCTTGGCCAATGGAAAAGCGGAAGCAGATCAAGGCAGAGCCCCCCTGGGATACTTCACCCACTGCTCTCACCCACCATCACAAAGACTACTAAAGTTGCCTGAAGTTACCCTCAAGCAGTGTTCTGGTCTGTGCATACCAGTGTAACATTTTTGTTTATCTGACCACATACCACAAGTTATTTTGGAAGGCTGCTGGCCTATTGTAACATGGAGATTGTTTTCCTTTCCTCTGACCCAGCCCCCATTTACATGTACAGTATTCACAGGGAAGGTAATTTTCTTGGCTGTATAGTCAGTCCTTGCAGTGTTGTGCAACTCACTGACATGGCTGGCTCATGCAGCAGGTGAACTAGAAACTTCCATTGTCTTCAGTAGAAGCAAAATAAGAGGCTAAATCCACAGCTGATTTTGCTGGATTGAATCCCTTATCTGATCTTATATATATCAAAAGCACTACTAACCTGACTGAGCCTCTTGTTAAGCAAGATTTGACATCAGTTTTTTCACTGGGAAATGGATTTGAACATTTTTTGCTTGTATAGGGTTATATTTTTGTAATTATGGAGAAAGCAAAAGATTATTTTGTAAGAAGTGATGCTCAGGAATAAATGCACTGGTACTGAAGTAAAAGAATATATTTTTTTCCTTTAAATTTAAAAATAATCAGTGATATTTCATGCACTAGCACCATTTCATTTAGAACATATTTTCCAAACCAAACATGCTGCTTTCCACAGCTAAACTTATTGTATTTGGCAGGAATACTCATACTTGATGAACCCACATCTGGACTGGACAGTTTTACTGCACATAACCTCGTGATAACATTATCCAGACTGGCCAGGGGAAACAGATTGGTTCTTCTTTCACTTCATCAGCCTCGGTCAGATATCTTCCAACTGTTTGATTTAGTTCTTCTGATGACTTCTGGACTCACTGCCTATTGTGGAACAGCTAAAGACATGGTCCAGTATTTCACAGAACTAGGCTACCCCTGCCCAAGGTACAGCAATCCTGCGGATTTCTATGGTCAGTATCAAGCACTGCCAAAAAAAAAGGTTACTGGAAATTATTTGCTTTCATAATTGTCTAACTAACATTGATTTTTGTAGACAATAACTGTCTTAGAAATGTCTTATAACTGACTCAAATCAATATTGCAGCAAGTTCCATTTTTAACGAGATCCCTATTTCTCAGTACAGAAAATGTAAGAAAAACAAGATGTATGGACAAAATCAATTTTCAAAAAAAATCCTCCTTCTAACCCTGACAGGTATAGCAACTCCTCCGCATATTTAGCACACTTAACCCCATGTTTTAGCTGGTTGAAACTTTGACTGGGAAAGACACAGATAGACTGATGAATTGCTTTCTGTAGCCAGTTCTCTGACTTCTCAATCAAGAAATGCAGAAGCTAGTTTCCCCAGAGTGAGCAATAATATGTACCTGGAACAGTAAATGGGAAAGAGAAGTCTGCCCAACAGAGCACACCAGAAGGGAGAAAAAGCTAACCCAAAAAAGCAATCCTTTTACTCCTCAAAGAAAGTTTACATGGTTTCAAATCCATTCTTCTTCTGTTTTTTGCAACGTGGAAAGGGAATCTGACCCTCTTAATCTAATGGGCGGGAATCTCTTAACAGAGGCTGGTTCAGTTGCAGCCCTTAGGTCTTTGCACTCAAGTTGGCCAGGAAACCTCACACAGACACCAGTGAGTGCTCTGGAGTAACCTCTTCAGCTGTGCCTATGTGGCAGGCAACGTCAGCTGTGCAGAGATAAACAGAAGTTAAACTCGGTGTCAAGCCCTACAAAAAGACCTTTGTCACCATCAGGGTTCAGAGCAGTCCTCAGCCAAGGACAGCCTCGAGGAAGGCTTGACCACCCCTGTAGGGGAATGGAGAGACAGTCCTGGACAAACTTGTAGCTGCTGCCTGCGGTTACAAACCCCTACGACACAGAGGTAGGGAGGGATGAGAGAGGGAGGTGGAAGATCTTTTAGCAATATGTAGAGTCAGCACCCATAGGAAAAGAAATATGGGCAGCAGGAAGGTGGAAATAGGACAGGATGGCAGAGGATCCACAGCAAGAAGGAGCACATGATGGAAACACGCAAGTGCTGGCTGTGTGTCTGATAGAAAAACAGGAGACCATGCTAGAAGGGAAGACGGGGCAGATTGAACTAATTTCTGGTGGACTCCTGCTAAGGAGTGGCTGAACAGAGATGATCAGCCCAATGCAAGGAATCAGGAAGTGTGCAGCGATAGTTCTCTCAGAAAGTATCTGCAAAACATCAGGTATTGTCAGTCTACATTGAAGGTCAACATGGGAAAATACTACTATAAGTTTAGATTTTTAAAAAAATCATTTTGTTAAGTAAAAAAACAATGCTAAGTCAACTACTGTCTCTCTATGTTGTCCTTAAATAATACCCCTTTTGGACTTTCTCAATATCTGGTAAAGTTTATGGCACCTCCATAAGATACAAATAAGATGATAACTGTAATTTTTCAGATGAAGAAAGAAACATGTGATTTAAGTCAAAGTCACATAAAAGATTGTAAATGCCTACACACCAGGAAGGAAATTCAAATAGCTTTTTTTCTCAGCACTCCTCTCAAGGCACTATGAAATTGCGACAAATCTGAAATAGTAGTTTATAATATTATAATAAGCAATTGTGTAATCTCTCAGTGATTCATTGAATCACTAGGTAAGAAACACACACATGAACAATCGGTTCATCTCTAACTGCCTAAGGTAACTGATAAAGTTCTAACTCTTGTAAGTCAATGCATGTACACAGGTTGTACTATCTGTTCACAATGAAATCCCTGATTCTAAGCACATCATAAAGTTATCACTTCTATAGCATATGGACTTACATCAGGTAATGTCTTGCAGTTGATTTGACCAGTATCGATAAACAAACTGCAGAAAAGGAAATGGAAAGCCGAAAAAGAGCAAATACTCTTGCCAACTTGTTCCTAGAAAAAGTCAAACATTTCGATGACTTCTTATGGAAAGTTACTGAAGGAGACAATGTTGTGACCACAGTCAGCAACCAAAGGTAAAGAAAAGAGTGTCATACGGAGGATCTGAAACAATAGCTACAGCCTGTGCTAATTTCAATTTCTTTTTCTCTTTTTCTTTTGGACAGGTCCCATTTAAATTCAGAAGAGGCTATCAACATGCCTCACCATTCAAGTGATCAGTTACCAGGAGCCTTAAAGCAGTTCACTGTATTATTAAGGTAAACTTCTCTTCAGCATAAACAGTTACGTATCATGCCCATTTGCATTTTAAATCATAAGAAAGAAGCACAAAATGTCCCATATCCATTGCCTTCCTTCAAGCTTTCAGCATTTCAGGCCTGAAATACTCAGGGGCTACAAATGCTTCATAGCTTTGATTAGATAAAAGCCTTTACAGAAAGAGGCAGCCCAACTCCCACCACAGTCAAAGTCAGCAAGTTCTATGAACTGATTTTAACGGTGTTTGGGGCAATGTCTCTGAACGTGACTGGCATTATTAAGTACTGTATCTTACAGTCAATGTTGCTGTTTTCCTAGTCGTCAAGTCTCCAATGACTTCCGAGATCTTTCAACGTTACTAATCCATGGACTTGAGGCCCTTCTTATGTCATTATTAATTGGATTTTTGTACTATGGCCATGACAAAGATGGACTCTCTATTCGTGACACAACAGCACTGCTGTACATGATAGGTGCCCTAATCCCATTCACAATAATTCTGGATGTTATTGCCAAATGTAAGTGTCAGTTTTCTTGTAAACATTATAAGCAATCAAAATCAAAAGATTCCTAAATTAATGAAAAAAATTAAACTTATTAATACAACCCAAGGCCTAAAACAATCTGTTTTTTCCTACTCTGCAGGCCATTCAGAAAGAGCAATGCTCTACCATGACTTGGAAGGTGGAATGTACTCTGTTAGCCCATACTTCTTTGCTAAGGTAACTGCTTTTGTTGCCAGGAAATACAAACAGCTGTCTTGAACATTAAAAAAACACAAGCAAATCAAAGACTTGTATAAACAATCACATTCATATCAGATTTTGTTATTTTGTGTCTGCCAGCTAAGGCTATCGTTCTTGCTTCCTTGACATTAATAGATTAAACCTCACACTACTTTAGATCTGTTGCCATAAGTCATGGTTGAGATCCCACACCAGAGAAACCAAAGAAGAATCTTTCACTAGGCTGTTTGGCCAAAATTTAAGAAATCTCAAACTCAAAGTTGAAGGCTTAGGCAATTTTACATAGCTGCATAATTCACTGAAGCATCTCTGAAAGTTTGCTTACATGTCTTGATCTGTAAAACAAAATATTTGCATCAAAAGCTACAGAAAAGGTAAAACAGAAATTACAAACTGTGATGTTTCCAGTAGTAGTTTGGGCCTGTGGTGGTCAGAGATAAAAAAAGCTGTATTAAGTGCATAAAGAGCCAGAGTTCCTGGAATTAAATTTAGAACTTTTTTTAAAAATTACATTCTCTTTCTCACAAGGGTTTAGAATAATCCCTTCTTTGTGATGTTGCCGCTGTTAGATGAGTTCTGCCTGCCATGGCATCTGTAATTTAGGTTTCCATTTCTGCACAAGATTTTAAATGCTTATTAGTGGTTGCCAGAGAAAAATATTCTCTGCATTGTGTCACAAAGATTGCACATTATTCACAGAGAAATCGATGTAATTTGTTACAACCTTAGTATTACAGGATAGTAGCAACCCTCTTAGGAACAACTAATGCTCTCTATAGACCTCTTCGGATATTTGAGAAAAGCCTATTTATGCTTTTGTTTTACAACAAACTAAGCTGCTAACTGGACTGCCTTTGGGACAAGGTGGGGAATGGACCAACAGCCAAATTTGTCTCAAATTTGATCTAACACTAGGTTCAACCAAATTGGGGCAAATACAGTAGCCATGAGTCAGGCACAGTATTGCTGTTATCAAGCACTCCAGTTCTCAGGGAAAGTGTCATAAATTCTTAGAAACTGCCCAAATTGTAACAAAACAAGACCTCTAATCTATAACAGGAGTCCTCTCCATTTAACAATTAGTTACAGGCAATGTCACAACTGGAGAAAAAACTAGCGTGGATTTCAGTTTCTGCTGCGGATTGTTTTTGCATGTCATTGACAACCCCTAACAGGGAGAGGATTGTGTTCTAGGGGAGTATTTCCTGTAAGTCCATAAGTACATTAGGGCACATCTCATGTGGTTTTGTAATTATCATTCAACAAATTCTCTTTTTTTTATTTAATTTTTCTTCTCCCTGAACAGATTTTGGGGGAGCTTCCAGAACACTGTGCTTTTGTTATAATTTATGGAGTTCCCACCTACTGGCTGGCAAACCTCATTCCTGAACCAGAGCATTTCCTGTTGAACTTCCTCTCGGTGTGGCTGGCTGTGTACAGTGCCCGTGCCATGGCACTCTGGGTGGCAGCGCTGCTGCCGACCTTGCAGCTCTCGGCCTTCCTCGGCAACGTCCTTTTCACATCGTTCTACCTGAGTGGTGGTTTTGTGATAAGCCTGGAAGGTCTCTGGACAGGTGAGACAAAGCTCCCACCATCCCTCCAAACTGGCTTGGAAACATCAGTGGCTTTCATCACTGACTAGTTGTTGTGATGCTGCAGGAAAACTCAGCCTTACTCCTACCTTTGCAATTATCTTCTTGGATGGTGACAGTGGAGTCATTCATTTTATATAAGTTTCTCCATCTGAAAATGAGGGAAAAGGAAGTTTGGTCAAAAAAGCACTAGCAAAAGGCTCGATTCTTATGTGGTTGCCAAACTTTTCAGTAAAAAGAATTGTATTCAAAAGATGAAGATGGAGCTCCAGGAAGACTTAGTTGACAGTAGGAGTTTGATGGATATGGATATTAGCTTACTCCTCACTTCCCATCTCCATGTAACAACGTAAAGTATATCTGCTATTTTGTCCAATAATAAACTCCTACATGTTTACAGCCTCTGGCTGTCAAGAAACGAGACAAAGCTGCTGTATTTGGCAGTAGCACAGCAGTTTTTGAGGTCTCAAGTTTTGTGTATGTATATCAATTTCTTTCGTTCTGTTTTTTCTTTTTCAGTTCCTTTTTGGGTTTCTAAAATCTCTTTCCTCAGATGGAATTTTCAAGGAATGATGCAAATTCAGTTCACTGACCGGACATACGAAATGACTGTTGGAAACACTACTTTTCAAATACCAGGGAAATTTGTAAGTCAGTAACAAGAATTGTTATAAACATTTAATTGTTTCCACAACAGCTGGAAAGCCTGTCATATTTAAATGGATGTTGTAGGTCTCAAATTTGGCAAGTGCCAAATCAACGCGTGAAGTCACGTTACACTTAGTATATTGTAAATTTGTCCTTAAAGATGTCCCTATAGCAGTCACTCATATGCCTTTCTTTTAGTGGAAGAGAAAAAAAAAAAAAAAAAAAAAAAGAAAATAATCATGGGCCACTATTTTCTACACAAACCCCAAATATGCACTTGCTGAAACTGTTCAGAAGCTGAACTGTGTTCCTCTGAAATAGGAATAGCGTAGCTGCAACCTGCTATCAAACAACTCTGAAAGATACATCCAGCTGGAAACCAAGGGGAAAGATGGCATGGGCCAAGGAACTCACATGTAAAATACACTTCACAGATCCAGCATGAAAATTTTGTGCCTTTTCCCAATTTTGTGTTATTGGTCATTACAGATCATTCAGTCTCTGGACTTGGACTCCCATCCTCTCTACGTGAGCTACCTCGTCCTCATTGGTATCATTTGCAGCTTCCTGCTTTTATACTATTTATCTCTGCGCTTCATCAAGCAGAAATCAACCCAAGACTGGTAACAGCAGAGGAGGCAGCAGGTGACAGCGTACCTTGCAGGAAGGCAGGGGAAGAACGAGCCCAATTTTGGTCCCCCCCGGCAGCCTCCCAGAAGAGGCGGGCGCCGGCAGCGCGGCTGCCACAGGATGGCAGCAGAACCCCAGGAGTCGGGATGCGGGCTGTGCTCCCCGCAAGGCTGCCACGGACCGCAGCTTCAGCCTGGGCTGGGGGTTCGGGGTGGGCTTTGGGCTTTTTGTTTGCTTGACACACGGTTTTCATAGGTGACAGGGCATTTATGAGTTCTCCACACTTGGATATATTCTGAGCTATGGGCGACCGATTTAAAAGGACCCGTTGCACATTGTAAGAGCTGATATTTTAGTACATAATGTTTGAGCATATAGTGATCACATACTTAGTTCAAAGAACTGCGAGAGAAAAGGATCAGAACACTGCTTTCTGTGGCATATATGACATTCAGCACTCACAAACACAGCACAGAGGAAAGCAACACAGAAGATTTCACAGGTGCTTCAGGAGAACATGTGCAATGATGGAATATAGAACTGTTAACTACTCTGTGTTATTTCTAGTTCCTTATGTATTTTAAAGCTCTGCCTTTATATTCCAGTTAGATGCTGATGATGCCCAAAATAGGTATTTGCTTACTTTAGAGACGATAACAATAAAATTATTTCAAATACATACTAATTGATTGCTATTAACAACATCTTTCTCCTTGGCAGTACAAATCATAGCAATTCACCAAATTTGCTTCCTAAGGTTCTCAGGTAGAAAATACCAACCTGCCCCTGAGTAATTAAAAATCTAACAATGAAATCTATTAAATGCTTGCAATTGTGCACCTAGTTTTGCTCAGAAAATTAGTATCAGTAAATAAATGGGCATAATTCACACACAGTCACAGTAAGTGCATGTACAAATTAGGTGTACAGTTGTGAGCATTTTGTAAGATTAGGTTGCTGCTTTTAAATGTTTAGATGCATATCTCTGTTCTTATATACAGAGACCCAAAGCAGATCGACTACTTGACTTTCATTTACATGTTCCATACAGTGGAAAACTCCTCCTGTAATCGGCTATAATGACCCAGATACTGTTACGTAAATCCCAAGGTTTGGTTTGGCTTTTTTTTTTAAGAATTAAGAAGGACAGAACATCCATATTTTATTGTTCAATTTGGCAGTTAGGACTGCCACGTTACTTTCCACAGATTCCACGAGGTAATATATTCCCAGGAAGACCTCGGTCTAAAGATATTAAACAGGTCTGATAAAGTAAGATCTTCAGCCCTAGGCAGTAGTAGGAATCCAAAACACTCCATGGTTCTTCTAAGGCGAATTCTACCATATCTTTCTGGTTCTGCAGTATTTGATTTCAAAAAACCCCACTTGATCTGATTTCAGTGCCATTTTGAAATTATCAGATTTTCATTGCCTTTTAATGGCAAAGCCAATTCTTTCAGTCCAATTCAGCATCATTAAATTGTCAGAATAGCAGCTTCCTGTTTGATTCTTAATTATTCCTTTTTATTATATTTAAGACATTTAATTTTTTTTTAATGGTTTACTCTTCCTTGTAATGATCTGTTGTGATTAGAATCTCTTTTATATTACACTGAAGTTTTAAGGGTATATATTGGTACTTCTAGTCTAAACCTCTATTTTCAAGGTATTTAGAGGATTAAATTCTAGGCTGACTCTCTGTTGTGAATTCACTTTGATGTTTAATAAAAAAAAAAAGGAGAGACACAATGGGAGAAATTAAAGACATAAGGGACAGCTCTGAATTTTAGGGGCATATTGTCATGCACAGAAATCTTCAGGCATCTAGATAAGAATATACCATAGCCTTAACTTTGAATTTCCTTCCTTTTGTGAAATTAGTCAGGCTGCTGACATTACTTAAACAGCCTTTTTCAATTTAAAATTCCACCCTCTTAACATTATGCAGCAGGACCAAACGGTGTGAGTGTTTCAGAGGTGGTGTTATGACAAGGGTAGATGTATACATAATGGGGACTTGAGCAGTGAGCCGAGGAACAGCCAGCATGTGGAGTGGAGGAAGAGCTATCATAGGAGGTGGCCAGGCCTCTGTTTACATAGAAAAAGCTCATATTCTATATACTACAATTACATTAGCACACTGCCTATGATCATATCTTGTTTCCTTGATGCTGAGAGATGGGGAATATAGGCTGTGATTATTGTTACAGGCTTTAGCAATAAGAAGGTAGGAGCCTTGAAATACCAGCAATTAGCGTTCGTGCCTAACAATAGCATGCTGTGGGGCTGTGTACAGAGAAGAGCACAGGGAAGAGTGGGTGGATGACACACAACCTGCCCCACTCGCGCTACCAGGAGTTGCAAATAGTGCAGGTTTAGGGGAATTATGCATCTCTCAGCCAGTGAAGCTCATGCCGTATGCTTTGGCCTCTACTCACACTTCCACAGTGGAGCTGCTGCTGCTGCAAAATCAAATGGTCAGCGAGGCAACAGAGATCTTCCCACGAGTTCTAATCAAGTGTGCCGCTTTCAGCTGGGGTAGAGTTAATTTTCTTCACAGTGGCTGGTATGAGGCTGTGTTTGGGATTTGTGCTGAACACAGGGTTGATAACACAGAGATGTTTTTGTTACTGCTGAGCTGGACTTACACAGAGCCAAGGCCTTTTCTGATTTTCGTACTGACATGCTGGCAAGGAAGCTGGGGGTGCATGAGAGGCTGGAAGGAGACACAGGCAGGACAGGTGACCCGAACTGACCATAGGGGTATTCCATACCGTATGACATCATGCTCAGTATATAAAGCTGGAGGAAAGAAGGAAGGGGGGTTTTGGAGTGATGGCATTTTGTCTTCCCGAGTAACCATTACACATGATGGGGCTCTGCTCCCCTGGAGATGGCTGAACACCTGCCTGCCCATGGGAAACGGTAAATTAATTCTTTTGCTTTGCTTGTGTACATGGCCTTTGCTTTCTTTATTAAACTGTCATTATCTCAACCCATGAGTTTTCTGGCTTTTGTCCTCCCAATTCTTTCCCCAATCCTGCTGGTGGGGAAGTGAGCAAGCGGCTGCGTGGTGCTTGGCTGCTGGCTGGGGTTAAACCACGACACCAAGGCTAAAAGTCATAACTGAATTTCAGTACAGCTTTGCTCTCCAAGTTTCAGAGTAGCCATTCCTTTTCCTTTGACTGGCCTGTATCAGCAGCAGCTCGCTGTGCCCTCCTATCTGCACTACCTGTACCAGCATAATCAGAGTTGCTGCAGTCCATAGCAATCTCAACACTAAAGAACACAAGGAAGACACTGCCCAAAACTTACTGTACTGTCTGTTCCACACACAACATTCAGTTTGCTACCAACTTTAGCAGTGTGGTTAAGGCAGATGTGCCTCTTGAGCAGAGCACTGCCAGCTAGTCCTACAATGCCACCACCCCAAGGATTCACCCACTGCTGTCTTTGCTCTCCCTGTATCCTCCCTGACCAGCTTCAGAAAGGAACTCCTCAGCTGTAAGTCATGGTCTCCTGCAGGCGACTCAGTGAAAAACTGGTTTTGAAATGGCACCATGTTTAACTGGTCACACGGTTTCCAAGTTGTTTTGTCCAACTACTGCTTGAACTGCCCAGGGCACAACAAAACTGCAACAAGCTATGGGGCTTCAGCCTGCAGACATGTCAGAGTGGGGAGTGGGATTATCAAAAACAAGCAAAAAAAATATTTGTAAGGAAAATTCACCAAATTTAGAACCAAAAAAAAAAATCTTTCCTGGTTACATAAATATTATAAAGTACTGTCTGGACAACAGAACTGTGTGTTGTTACAGTACCTCTAGAGGTGGTATCTGATCTGTAAAGAAACAGGTAAGACAAATTTGTCATTATTACTTAAGTATTTAATATACAGGCAGAGGTAGGAAGATATTCCCCAATTTCCACTCCAAGTTTATGCAGTCTCTCCACTTGGCAAATGAACAAACTTTTTTAGCACTGGAAAATGGCTTACAGAAACACTGCTCTACATATTGGCTTGTGGGTAGTGGCAGTCCTCCAAAATACTGCCCGAAGTTTCGTCCCATATTTGTTCATTGCAAAATCCATTGAGAAATGCTAAATAAGTAACAAGTATCAATAGCCATTCCTTTCAATAAAAGTAAAACTCCATGAAATTCTTTTAAAAATAAATCACAGACAATGCAGTACACATGGGGATTCTTTGGGTAAGAAATCGCAGGTGTTGGTATGTCCACTTGGACCAGAAATAACAAACCTTTCAGGTTTTAGCCATAATGATTAATTTTAATGGCAGTAGACAAGAAACAGTGTACACAGAGCTCTGTGACATGCTGACTTTTTTTTTTTTATACTTGGAGAGCCAAGACAAGCCCTTCATATGTTAGCAGCTATTAATTAAGGCAACAATGTTTAAGCAGTGGGTTGAGGTAATTTTTAAACCGCTTAACCCTTTTAAGAACTGACGAGCTTTAGAAAGCATATATATGAGTGTGTGTTCATAGTAATACGTAGATGTAGAAGTATCTGCACGAATGGATTACATACATATGTATATACACACACAACTAATGCCTGTGATTGCTTTTATTTTTTTTAGCGAATATTTAAAAAGCAATTCAGATCCATAATTTATAAAAGTGCTGTTGCCAATTTATATAATTAATTATAAAACTGTTTGCTGACATTTATTTTGTCATTAAATCAAACTTAAAGGTTATTTTGAATTGCAAATTTTGTTGGCATTATTTTGCTTTCATGGTCACAATTAGATACTTATAATGCTTCCAGTGCTAAAAACCTGCAACTTTAACCCCTCAATCCTCACACCATGGCTCCCAAACCAGCTTCTTCCATCAACAACACATATGTTGATATGCTTCTCTTTAAGAACCTGATCAGATTTTGCTGAGATTCCTAGCATTTCTCACTATTGTTTCTGCCTAACACAGTATTTTTTCATGTTTAACAAGTGGGTTTAGAGGCACAAATGTTAATGGACTGGCCAGAACAACATGGTGAGTAAACAAGCAATGCCACCAGCCTCAAGAAAAATTTGTATTTTGTAAACAAGCAAATTAGCCCAAATTTTCTAGCAAATGCAGAGCAATTGGAAATCTATAAACATTCACAAATTGTCAAAACCAAAATGCACAGAACAGGAAATTTTCAATAAACTCTCAGTACCTTGCAATAATATACAACTGTACTAGGTAACAGGTAACATCATCAGCCTTCAAGACACTGCCTTTGCTCACTTTCATTTACTGGAGACTGGGGGAAGAGTTTAAAAAAACAACAACAAAAACTTCTTGAAAATAAAAAAATCTTCATGTTTCACTGAGAAAGTCAGAACAAAAAACACCAAACAGCACAGAGCCCACTCTTATGCCTGTGTAGCCTCCACCAGCAGCTCTGGCCTGACACAAGTAAACATCATCTTTCTCATGATTCAAGTCACGATGCTGGGAAGACTGCCCAAAAAGAACTATTATCCTTAACAAACACCCCAAATCTTCTACGACTCTTGGTTAAAAATAGCTAATCACCTTGTGGCAGTGCTTCAACTGATGGCAGAAAGGCATGAAGCCGAAAAATGGGAGTTCCAAACCAGGCAGCAACAAAATGTGGTACACAAAAACTCTGAAAAATGAGACGTGCTGCCCTTATTAGCTGCAACCAGGTACTGGATGTTATGCTACACAAGGCAGTTGCTGGATTTTCATGTGGGTAAGCTGGAGGTCAAACATGTGGTAGCCATCACCCCAAGAGACTCTGATCTCAGCTGAGAAAGGCGAAACACCAACAACTTCTTTGTTCTTTTATCATCCAATTAACAGAATCATTTAATCAGTTTTCTGGGTTGTAATTCTTAGGAATAGGGGCACATGCTGCCATTCCCTGCGGAGCCACAGGGGCATTCCAGGCCCGTGGGAACAGGCAAAAAGCCAGCCCTGTCCCACCAGTCCCACAGTAATTCTGGGCACAGTGGCTCTGGCCGTCCTCACCACAAGCTGTACCTGCTTCCCCACCTTCCCCCCCAAATCCTACAAATACTCATGTAAAAAGGTATTTTGGCCAGGTATTTTTGTTGCCAAGAGGAGAGTGCTGTCTGGTCACAGCAGAGCTAAGCACCGCCAAACACTTTGGACAAACTTGCTCCAGGTTTGTCCCTTCTGAAAGCAAGACAAAAGAAAAGTGAATGAATATTTTTAGCTTTATGTACTTCCTAGGGAATTTCTAAGTGCCTTTGTACTAGAAAAATGCCTTGCAGCTCTGTAGTATGTTCAGTGACAGGCGTGTGATAAATTTCCACTGGAAAAAACCCTTGAACGTGACTGACAATAGTAAAGCCACAAATTACCGTAATTTTATGCCCCCTGCAGCTAGTGGTATAAAACATAGTTTTCAACCTTGTTTTTACTTGCTGAATTTAGACAAATTTATGTTATTGATGACAGTGAGAAAGACACTCAAATACAGAAATTGCATTCCTGGGCATAAAAACAATTGGAGCACAATATTTTATATGTACTATAGACGCTGAAAAAAATATGGCTGTCATTAAAAATATAAAAAAGATGGAAAACTTAAGGGTTCAAAATAATTATTTTCACATTATATACATATTTATTTTCAGATATCACACTTGATCAGAGTTTTTTGCTCCTCCCTGGAACGCTGAACATGAACCAGGTGTGGCATGCAATGTTACTAGCACACTCTCTCTGAACATTAATGTTTGAAATACAGGCTGTGTCAATACTATCATGAAGAAAAGCAAAAACCTTGTTTAAGTCGTCTACAGATATACGGTTCCTAATGGATTTTCCAATGAGCATATGCTTTCTATCGTATTTCTAATTTTTAGAATGTAATTTTATTTACAAAGGGTTCCGAGGGCCCTCAAAACGGGCAACTGCTAGAGATGATCAAGCTTCACAGTTTAACTAACCCCCCACACAGACTGTTCAAGCTACTAACTAAACTAATGGGAGGAAAATCCCAGGGAACTTTGCAAGTAATGAGGGCAACTGCATGATTTATTTTTGGTTTAGGCAGAAAGTTTTTCAGAGTATGGCTAGGTAGTGGGCTCAGCAACCTGACACAGTTGCTTCAGTTACAACCTCACCACAGGCTGCAATCTCAGTATCAGAACATGCAAAGAAACGGTGATGGTCCCAGTGCCACACACTGTCCCGTATTCAGACTTCTTTTTAGAAGAAGAACCCCAAATTACACTAACAACATACTTACTCCTAACAGTTGCTTTTGAATTTGAGGAGAGGTTGAAGAGGCTGCTGCTGGAACAAACTTCCTTTAGTATTTGTGGCAGATGAAGATGCTCCTGTTCCTTCAGTTAAGCAGCTGTGATTACAGGACTAGTACCATCCCGACTCCCCATGGTAGAAAGGCATGAGGACCAGGTTTGGCTCAGCAGCTCTGATTAGTCCTTCAGGGCCTGGTCCTTCACTGAGCTGGGCTTAGCAGCCAACACACCCTTACAGTCCTTGCTGCTGCCACTGCCTTCTTCTCCAGCAAACCTCAAGGAGAAGTGGTTGAAGAGGAGACAGTGGGAGTCATAAGAAAGGCAAGGATCCTTGGTCATCGCCAAGGACATCGACGTCATCGATGCATCATTGACCACAGCAGCCAACAAGCTGAGGGTTACTCCTTGCTCCCTCATGGTCCTTCCCTCCCAATCCAAGCAGGCCTAAGCATCTTGATGAAGCTGCTGGACTTAATGACACCCACAGTACCAACACCCACCCTACCCCCTTCAGCATTTTGCCCATACTTCCCATCCCTTCAGAGTTCCTCTGCAGTGGTCCTATACTTTGACAAACATTCTTCCCAGCCCACCTCCCATAAATAAAAATCCAGCACCCAAGAAGCATTTCAGAGTTGCCTTTGCCAGCCTCAAAGGAGGCCAGGATGACTTTGTCCTGTCCACACCCACCTACTTTCTCTC